AATTTTACATAATGTATTTCTTTTTTATTAATAATACATTATAGTTATAATTTCAACATAACTTTATATTAGCGTAAAAATATATTTTATATTTATACAGACAAATTAAGAATAATAAACATTAGGCTAAAAGAGAGAATACAAATTACACTAAAAAATTTTCAATATACAATGATGCTCAGTCGCAGTTTTAATATACGTCATATTATGGTAACAATATAACATCTGTATTTTTAACGCAAAATACAATCATCACTAACTTTTTTTTCTAACTTGGTAAATTGTAAACAAATATTTTTTTACATTCGTAAAAATGGACGCCTGTAGAATAAATGATGAGTTTCTTAAAATATTAAAAAAGTTGAATGTTATGAGGTGTATGTAAAATTATGAACCCAACAGCTTAATATGTATATTAAGCTGTTTAAATTGCACTAATTCTTATTAACATTTAAAAGTATATAAATAAAAGTTTATCATATATTGACTCAAAGTATTAATAAATGCTCTCCATACTAAATCTGTTGATAAGTATACATGAAAAACAGTTGATGGCGAATATTGATCCATTTAACTGTTGCGTATTTCACAATAACATATTAATATAATTCAGAACAGAATTATTACCACACAATTAAATAAACTCTAACCTATGTAAATTTTTTATAAGATTATTAACATATGACAACGTTTAATACAGTTAGAGTAAGTGATTGCTGACCATCAATATATTGATTTAATTTAAAATGCAATAAGCTTTTATAAGCTCGTGAATACTCTGTAAAATTTAATTATTCACGTTATCTTTAAATCCTCTGGGTTCGAATACAATTTAAGGGTTTTTTTAATAAGTTCATTTTTTTAATTTTTCAGGAGATTTATTTTTTTTCATTAAAAGTAATGGTAAAATGATTTTTCTAAAATAAATATCTCCACAAATAATCGGAGTATAGAACTCGTTTATGTACAGAATTACGCAGACAAATTATAATTATTCAGAATTAACAAACATTTATTTTCTGAAAAAGTTGGACTTATCTGGTTGTTGCACCAGATCCTTTAATTATTGTTTTAACCCTATTTCCAAATACCAAACAACACACACCATGGTGTATTTTGTTTAAAATGCTCGTAAACTGAAAAAAACCGTATGTAATATTAATGAACGGCGTTTGTTGACCAATAACAACCAAATTCATTGGCTCGATGTACTTTTTTCATTTATTCAATGAACAATCGTTTATTGATCAATAACTCTGTTAATTAATACAATGAACTCGCATTCATTAGCACAACAATCTTAGTTCATCAACATTATTCAAAATGTTCGTTATATCAAAGATTTTGTTCGTTGAAATAGAGAACCATCGTACGTGATATTAACGAACATAAATTGTTGATCCAACGTATTATATCGATAAATTTGTTCATTAATACAATAATGTTAATTGTTAATACGATAGTTTTATGTATAAANCTTATCATTTTTTTTATAAATGTGACATCTATCTGCCTACAGGGGATATTCAAAATTACAACTTTTTCACAAAAAATTAACATTTGAAAGTGTTTTGGAAATACTGATACTTTTATAAATATCTTAAATTAGAGCTTATGTAATATACAGTATTGTGGGAAAAAAAACGTCTAACTTTATTTTGTCTACATATTGAAAATGGCTACCGTGTATTTTTTATAAATAATACAGCTGAGTTGCCATGAGAAATTACACGAAAATTCTTTTTGATAAAGTGTCTTAGTTATTTAATTATATTAAATTTAATTGATTATCTTGGATTTTTGTGCATTCTTATTAGCCATATGAATATATAATAATATTGCAATAAAAATGTCAGAATTGTTATTCTAACTTACATTGGAGTAATAAGAGACGGAAAACCCTTCCCCATTGACATCAATATCCACCTCTAAAACGAAGTAATGAGCAAAAAAAAATATGTGCTATTAAGGAGGACTTAAGCACCCACCCAAAAAATTAGAACGCATTTCTTGGTTTGGTCGTAGAAATTTTGATATAATTGATATTTTTTTAAATTCATTATTGTCAAAATGATAATTTTAGAATAATTAAGAAAAAATGTTCTATTTGGCAGGATAATCATAGATGTCTAAATTTATTTATATACGTATGCAGATAACAATAATGATCGTTGATTGTATTTTTTGTTTACATTAATCACCTATATAATATATAATATCTATATTAGCGATACTAGCATAGGTAGAATAAGAGGCGAAACACCCCACGGGTCTCTGTGTGAATCATACCTCTTTTTAATACCCCCAGAGAGTTTAGTGTAGTTGCGTCTATTTGTTATACTTATGTCAATAAATCAAAAATTTGCATTTAGGTTGTTGTTTCATTAGAGAAGCGAAATGGTGAACATTGCATGTTATGTATTGTTACAATAGCATTTATCTATTAAAACTATAATCATGTTCATTGATGAAATAATTTATGTACATACGTGAAAACTATGAAAATACATCATAATATTAATGAAATATATTATTGATATTACGAACACTATACATTAAATCTATTATTCTGTTTTTTATATTTATAAATCCCGTATATTAACCACTTTGTCAATGAACAACTTCATTGATAACTTCTTAAACATATTCATTAATTCAATGAACTTTTTCATTAAATACACGTATATTTTTTTTTTTATTGTATATATTTTTTATATTTAAAAACGCGATAGAACTTGCTGAAGTGTTTATAATAAATATATTTCTTATGAATAATTATAAATGGAACTCATAGACACAATTTTAATACAATGTTTGAGGAATCTAACTTAAGTTTTTCTCTCCTTAAAAATATAATTATATAACTTTACATATAATTTTCATAACTTTTGGAGTGCTGCAACAAAATTAGAAGGAGGGCTAAGCCTCCATAAGACACCCATGTTGAATCTATGTGAATACTTCTTTTGTAAAATTTAATTTTAAAAAGATAACCGCAACTTGTGTATGTTATTCGATGATTCGCTTAATTATCAGAGTTATATAGAAGTAATCGGTTTATCATAAACCACTCGATTACTCCCAAAATAAATACAATATCGGAGAAGAATTTTTGATTACTTTTAGTTACATATATTTCTTGATTTATTGGCTAATAATTACTTTTTAGGATCGCCCATTACAATTTAAAGGGTGATAATGTCAACTTTATTTTTTTAAATGGTAAAATACATATTTAATTAACTTATAAAATAGAAAATTACTGGTCTATAACAACTTTTAGATCAATATTTTGGAAGTTATTATAATTTTTATACTTGGGCGGCACGAAAAGTACGGCTTGGAAATGGCTAATGATAAAAATAGCAGTATCCACTCCCCACCACCAGTCATTACTTTTAATTGTTTATAACTTCTGAAATACTGGACCAAAAGCTATTATTACCCAGTAATTTTCTTTTTTAGCTTCGATGCGAAGCTGAGAAGGTATTGGTTTTACTAAGATGTGTTTTTTTTTTTTTTTTTTTTTTTTT